GGCTGGACATGGACTTGTCGACTGGACCGGAGCGACGCCCTGCGTTTGTGTGAGTTGAAACTAGAAGATGAACGATTACTGAACCAAGATGAGGGCCAAGAGTTTGGGGTTGAAAACAGAAGGGATTAAAACTGAAGTTGGAACGAGACGATACGGATGGAAAAGCGCAACAGGCTGAAGAGAAAAACCGAAAGGTTTGATCAGTAGCATCCAAACTCGTATCCACCCTACTCAGTACAGCAGATGGGACACCGTTGATTATTTTTTGCGACGGCCTGACAGTATTCCATACTGTCAGATTGCCCAGACCTAGAGTTCTCAACCAAAGCCTTTAGTTCAAAAACCTGACTGTAAGGCAGCGGCACTGGTCTACATAGGGTCCATTTTATGGAGCAAGACGTCACCGTCGTTTCAACACCCAACCTGTAGGGCCAGGAGACTGAGTTTTTCTGGCCTCTAACCAATCTGGCATGAGTGGCTCTGAAGGTGCAGAAGCAACATCCATCACAGCTCAATGGTTCGCCGAGACACGCAAACCATCGTACCGTGTTAATATCCAGTCTCGTCGCAATGGCAGCTATATTAGCGCCCTCGCGATTGAAGCTGAGGTCACCAACGGTAAAGCGAAAGCTCGAGACCTTTTGCCAATATCCGTATTGCGGCACATTGGCGGAGTTGTGCCTCATCGTCGACTAAGGTTTACTGATGATGATTTCAGTTTTACACTACCACTACGGACACCTAGATGATAACATACATGCTTGGAAAGAAAAATGGGAAAATGCACAGCTGTTACTAAAACAACCGCTCGCGCAGCATGCTAGTGACTGTGTCGCTGCGTCAACAAGCAAACTTGAGAGATAAGGCAAAGCGGTATTACGATACGATGACTTGCGGGAAAATAAGATTCTGAATTTCGAACAGGGATGAAATGTCAGTTACTGCCTTAGGAGAAACATTTTTGCAGGCATCCAGATGTCTAGAAATGATCAACTCAACTAATATATCTCCAGGCAAGCTGCTGCATTTTAAAATGTGCTTTATAGATCGCACCAATAAGATGTAATCTTTCTGAAGTAGTTTAGGGCAAACGACAAGAGCGCAGTATAATCATTGGGAATAATGCAAGAGGTCACCAACCTGTATATTAACGTACGTGGTACTGAATGCATCTTAAGTCTGAGGGCATAAAATGAATCTTTTCTGACTTTTAGGAAAGTTTTACAGGCATGCGTGGACCAAGAAAGGTTCTGGGATAACAGGACGCCGAGATACTTAACGGTGGAAGAGCTGGGTATGGGATTTTCATTCACGGTCAGCGCGGGGAAGAAATCTATGAGGGACTACAAATTATCGCCGCGTAGAAAAGAAAATATTACATCACTGCATTTAGAAGTATTGTGTTAGAGATCTAGATAAAGACCATTCCACCAGATCTTCCAACCCACGTTGAGGTGATGAGGAATCCTGGTTAGTGGGGGCCATACATCCCAGCACAACTTCATTAGCTTATTTGCACCCTATAAACGTGGTTTGTATAGGGAGGTGCACAACCTACAATGAAAATAGAAAAGGGTGATAAGATTGCTCCCTTTAGAACACCACAGTCGGCATGGACGACAGAGGATTTTTTACCGTTCAACTTAGTGAAGTGAGTGCGATCCGTAAAATAGTCACGTAACAGATTACACACACCAGGGTAAACTCCCTTTTTTGGATAGCAGGTTTAGCAACCTTGACCTATCCAGGCTTCCAAAGGCATCCGGATAATCCAGGAAGAGAAGTCGTACGGATTTAAATTTTTGATCTAATGTGGAGGCTATAGGATGAACAAGATATGTCACTGCATCCAATTTCGAGCGCTGGGATCTATACGCAAGCTGATAGATATCGTCCCCAGGAGCAGCTGGAGAAATCCGCGGAATTAACAATCTTTCGAAAACTTTTAGGAGCACAGATGTACATGCAATTGGGCGATACTTTTGAGATCCAGTTTTTGGTACTGGAGTTATACCGGTCGTTCTCCAAATGTCCGGGATCACACCCATAGTGAAGCATTTGTTAAAGTGATCTGTTAAAGGCAGTGGGAGAGAATCAGCACACTGTCAAAGCTAATGGTGAGAGAGCATCCGGACCACAAGCTTTGGTTGCCTATAATCTTTTGAGTTCTTTGTGAACGTTACTTTTTATCGGAAGACGCAGCTGGACTTGAGCTAATGAAGGAGGGCAAGGAAAATGAGCTTAGTGAGGCGTAACTAATCTCAGAATTTAGCTTATCCACATCCGCTCTGATTGCAAATGCTCTTATTACAGAGCTGCCTCGGAAGCCACCACAGATCGCGACAGCTATGGTTGCCTAGAAATGCTTTGGCCTTTTCATCTCTGATTTAATTTCTGTAGTTAGGCTTTTGACACGAGTAGCATCTTACACTTGTAAGCCAATTCTTTCATCACCCGAAGCCGCTTTAGTAGTGGTGATAAAATTCCATCTGCCCTTAGATAGATCGTTTCAACTGGGCAACAAAGGTCCTCCTCGCTCAAGACCGTGAACATGATTAACGAAAACATCGTCTGGAGCCTTGTGATCTTTTCCGAGGGGCAATTTCCCCGTTTGAGAATATTCTAAGGACTTCTGGTCAGCGTTAAAAAATTAGACCTGCTGTATATGACTGGACGCAGTTTTAAAATACAATGATCTAAACTACTCAAAAGAGACCGTTTTGTATGGAAAACAACTCATTTATTTGTGTACCCAGCGTCCAACTGGGCTTCTTGTCTAGTCGAAACCGGCACTAGGTCTACCAGGCAAAGTGTCTTCAAGAATGTTGTATTCTTTCTATTAAAGTCGCCAGCAACAATACAGATAGAACAGTCTAACTTAAGCAGTAGCGTTGAAGAAACTTGGTCCTCAAAAAGCCTTAACTCTGACGCAGATGCGTCAGGAGAAATGTATACATTTCCAGCGATAACTTATTGAAATCCACTTAAGAACTTCGGTTTACATTCGATTAAATGGAAGCTTATAGAAATCGTTGATTATATGAATATTACGATTGCTGAGTTGCGCTAATGTTGATTAACGTAACTTATAACGCCACCACCGCGAAACTGGGACTTTCCGGGGCGGTCAGACCTGATGGGAAAGGAACCATCGAGTTGAATTACATTTTCCACTTCAGTATGCAACCAGCTTCTTTGTAACCGATTCCTGTACTAACATACTCCTTTCGCTGCATATTGGCACTGAGCTCACTGATTGTACCAAGTAGCGAGCGAACATTATTAGAAAGTATCAGTGGGACTTGCAGTTTGTCGACAGAAAAACGACTGAGGAGAGATTGCCAACCAGCACGATGTTTTTACTTTTTTTCATTTGAAGGTGTTTCTGACTTTATGACCGTATTCGATGAAGCATGGATTTAAGGCAGCAACGCCCAACGTTTTCATATGGTTAACGGAGTAGGACAACATTGACCTTGAGACTTGATTAAAGAAAAACAAATTACTTCAAAGTTACACATAAACTATAGCACTCGCAGTCGGTTGTGTAGAATAGCCTTCCAACGAGAACAGCAACGGCCGAATTTGTTAACGTCTACTGTAGAGCCTTTTCCTGTCAATTGCAGTATCGAATCACGCTGTGTTTAGGTGTACAGTCTACAGAAATGTTACTGTTTTTGTTTCACACACAATATGCCGGCCCATGACCTTAAGGATCTCAAGCTTGCCGGCACGAGATCACTCCCGAAGGGTAGTGTACAATGCAGCCGTACGTTCAACCCCCGTTTACGGCTATGAAATCTGGTCCAATAGATTGGCCACCGCAATTTTGTTCACATCTCATCGGAACACCGCGTAAGGAACGAGCGTGTTCAACGCTTTGTTTCCTTCACAGGGAGTGGAAATGAATTGCTCAACACCGTTATTTCACGCACTAGGCTCTGATGGCTCGGCTGCGTGTTGCGCATGCCAGCCTACTGGCTCCCGCGACGTGCGTTGTTTGTGCGCCGGGGGTGTGGGTGGAAGAAGAGGTGAGGTGGCCAAGCAATGACTTGGTCGAGAAGAATCAAGGCCCTTACTTTGAAGCTGACCTCGGTTGGAGCGCCTCGGCTCCCCGGTTGGGGTCCGAAAGGTGATGAACACGTTTGGCTGGATACCCTTGCTGATATGGCTAGGAGCGGACCTCAGTGGCGTTCATGCTGTGAGTTTCTTAATCCCACTACATCCCACTTAGTTTCCCCCTCAAACCACGATCTCACTTCTTAGCCTAATATAATTTTGCATAATAAGGTTTTTTTGCTGCATAGTAACCGGCTGGTAGTTTTCCGGAACGATGCCCGTCCGTTACGAGTATCTCAGTTGTCTTTTATCCGTTGTATTTTTCTACTATATCTTATATATTCCGACACAGCTGCTGTTTGTTTCCATCTCTAGCTAAAGTTTATAATGTATGAGCTTGGCTTGTAATCCGAGGGCACGGGTTCGAGTCTGCGTAAAGACCGTGCGACACTCACAGTGTCCTTAGTCCATGTGCGACGGTTGGTGGTTGCGCAACAGTGTAGCGTCGGCACTGCGTACCACCGGCGTACTGCTGATGCCAATATTTCTTTCCTTTTGCATTTCTACTGTAATTTCCAGATATCGCTCGCTCGAATGTAGTATGATTGACTCCTGAACCGAAGGCTATCCTCTTCTCAAAGGTATCAGAAGTGAGCCTGCATTTTGTACCTGTTTCCCTAGCATGTGACAGCCAGTGATTGTAGTCGGGCTCTGATACCACCGTGGGACTCAAATCTAGGCAGGAGTCTCTATTCGGACCATGGACACAGGAGTTCCACGTCATGCATCTGAACTTCCGCACTACGAATCCACTCTTCCTCGTTAATTGACCGTCAACTCGGTTTGCTTTACAATGAATGTTTTGGTTGCGTTCATATGTTGACTCTTTTTCACCCCTGACATGAATATCTTATTTTATCGCTTTCTTTACCTTTTCTCAGGACTGTCCGACCGGTAATTTGACGTTGGACGAATTCAAACGCATTTATGCCAAGTTCTTTCCCTATGGAGAGGCATCGCGATTCGCGGAGTACGTTTTCCGCACATTCGATCGAAACCACGATGGCATGATAGATTTCCGAGATTTTCTCTCCACTGTCAGTGTGACTAGCCGTGGAGATTTGGAACAAAAGTTACGATGGGCGTTTTGTATGTACGATTTAGATGGCGACGGCTATATATCCAGGCAAGAATTGTGCGACGTTATTGCGGTAAGTATTGCACACTGTTTTCTAAATACTGACCACACTTGCACTGTCTGATCATCTGTCGTCTGCACATGCCCGCACATTTCAGTTCCGTATCTGTAGTGCAGTATTTTAAGTCCTTTTGACTTGAACTATCCTTAATGGAATTAAACCGATCGCATCCTATAACGTTTCCGATTCGCCGTCTTGTCTATTTCCCCTCTGTTATCGAGTCTCTGCTTTTCCCAAAAGGTTACTTTGGCAAATGCCGAGTTTCTAAGATTTTGCACTTTTAATGGCACACTAAAAGTTGTTTTTCGGAATGTTACCATCTACGTGACTCTTTTGGACTCCTGAACCTAGACCATCTGCGGTCTATAAATTAAGGACCCAGTAGCCACGGAAGCGTGAGAACTCAGACACTTCCCAATGAAGCCCATTATTGTTGCCTGTGAATTACCTATCTATTTTTCTCCCTTCGCTATTCGGGATGTAATACAGCTCACGATTCCACCACCTTACTATATTCTTTTTCCATGGTACTGTTTTATCTGTCGTTCTGTCGAAGCCATTTCGTTTTCCCTGCAGTGCAGTTTTTTGCACTGAATTGTCGCATCCGATCTATTCACATCGGTGATCCGTTGTACACTTGTTCGCATGTTAGACTTCCAATTCTTACGCTCCATGCTCAAGTACCCACTCTTGTTTGGATTTCGGCATCACACCTGCACTTCACACCGCCAATTTCGTGCCACGTAATCGCAAACGTCTGCTTGCGGATTCGAGCCCGCCGAGGTTGCCCACGTCTATGCAATTTTGAGCCGAAGACTCATGTATCCCTAACTAGGCACCTTGACCACTCTGTCACACGACAGCAGTTACATCAAGGCAGCAACAAATCCTTATAAACCAGTGACCTACCATTGATACCACCCGCATCAAGGTCGGCCGGTGGCCGAGTGGTCTGCACGTTTGCTTTGCAACCATAAGGTCACCGGTTCGAATCCGCGTAGGGGTGGGCGTCCTCGCGGTATACTCAGCCCGCGCGCGACTGGCGGTGGTCGCGCGGCAGCGAAGCGCCGTTACGGCGTACAGCTGACACATTATTATTTTTTATTATTATTACCCGCATCAGGATAGCGCGTCCGAGGTATGAATGTGTAATCAAACCTAAGTCTCGTGTGCATCTTGCTGAGCTGTAGGGCACAAGGTATTAAAACTTTGCGCGTTTTATGCATTCATCTGCCCGACACACTGGTGTGTGTTTGGATCAACTCTGTACTAATTGTCATGAGTGCACAGCAGTTAATCTGCTGGATCCATGAATTTCTCGTTGGAAGAAAGTGGAGGGTACAGGTGGACGGCCATCTAACCTATTGGTATCCCTCGACCAGTGGTGTACCTTAAGGTACGGTACTGGGACCCACCCTGTTTCTCATTCACATCAACGAGCTGCCCCAGCTTCTACGGTCGCCGCGTGCACTGTTTGCGGATGATCTCAAAATTTGGCGAGAAATTAATACTCTCGATGACTGTGACATTCTCGAACAAGACCTCGACCGCCTCGCAGTATGGTCTGCTGAAGTCCACCTACCGGTCAACCCGGCAAAGTCCCTATTCATGAATCTCGGGAAGGCTGTTCACGGCCGAACGTACACCCTAGACGGCCAACCACTGCATCCCACACCTTCCGTGAAAGACATAGGTGTACTCTCACGCTGCTACTTGAAGCCCGTCGACAACACCAACAAACTGTATCGAAACGGACTGCGCATGCTCTGGGCGCTGAAGCGTAGCTTCTGCACTTGGTCTGAAGACGTCGCCACTCGCCTCTTCTCTTCCATCGTCAGACCAATGCTAGAGTACGGCTCGCCTGCATACTGTCCGATCACTCGCGGCGAAGCGCAAAAGATCGAACGAGTACAACACGTCGCCACCAAGTTGATCCCCAGTTTGAGAGGCTTATCGTATGAAAACCGGTGCATGAAACTTGGGCTCTACACCTTGTCGTATCGCCGTGTTCGAGTGGATCTTATCATGACCTACCGTATTTTACATCTCGGTCATTTCCCCATGCTGAGGTCGTTACTCCACTTGCGAGTATCATGCACCACACGTGGGCACAGGTACAAACTCGTGGTAACTGATCTGAAGAAAATCCCACACCCCCTGTGTTTCGAGCGGAGGATTGTGCACGCCTGGAACAGTCTGCCAGAACACGTCGTCGAGGCCGAATCTGTGCAGAAATTCAAATCTTTGTTGGATTTACACTTCGCTAACATACGTTTCAGAGAACGGTTGCCACTTGACAACGATATCACCCACATGTGACTCACTGTGTGAACAAGCATTTTGTGTGCTACAGAAGAAGTTGCTGAACCACCGGACGTGTTTATTTATTTTTTAAAATGTTTTTGATTATCACCCGATGGAGTTGTACAGAATTATTTTCTACTTGATCCAAAATACAGTATTCAGTATTCATGCACCTTGATGGTTGTATCGCCCATGGCGCTCGGATCACCAGAAGCACTGTGTGCACGTCAAGATCACATGTTCGGTTCACTTCAGTTCAGTTGAACAACTGTGATTTGGACAGTGAATCCACTTGCCACAATTCGTCGCCAGAATAACGATAAATAACTATGGCAAAAAATGAGCATACGAAGATAATGGTTTTCAGGACAGCAGTTATCGTGACAGAATGAAATTTGCTAACTAGATGCAAGAAACCGAGTGCAGACAAGTCACGAAATACACCAATGCGCCAGTTCTCTGATAGGGTCTCCAACTACTGTTGTGGAGTACCCCGAGGCCTCTATCCACAGAGACGACATGCATCAGTCTGATCAATTTCTCAGTCGATTTCTTCATGCCTTTGTGCTACATTATCCACTGGTCACCTCGCTCTTTCTCCCATCTTGTTGCGAAGACGACGTATAGTGCACGCCTAGGAAGTCGGTCAATTAGCATACGGGGGACATGATCTAGCCAACATGAGTGGTTACGTCTAGGCAAACACTCGAGTGAAGCACCAGAAGGCTTTATGCCAAAACCAACTGGTGAACTTCAGCATATCGCTAATATTTGATAGTTAATCGTTACATGACGGCACTTAGGGCTTGACACATCAAGATGCGGCGCCTGAGGTCTGTAGCCAATGTCCCAGTGTTAGAAGGCTCAGAAGGACAGCTCTGAACCTCGAGTACAGATCGTGCTTCCGCATTGGCGGCACACTTCGCCTCCGTATTTGCAAGTGACCAGGTGTCTGTAACGAGTTCGACGAGTACCGCTCCAGCCGAACTTAACAGTCTGGATTGCAATATTGAGGATGTACGCAAGCTTCTAGCAAATCTTGACGGGACGAAACCTGCTGGGTCAGATGGTATACACCCATTGATCCTCAAGTCCCTATCGGCCATCATCGCACCTTCTGTAACTGGACTGTTTCACAGGTCACTATCCACTGGACTGTTACCGGATGACTGGAAATGCTCAGTCGTAAAGCCTATCCCGAAAGGTGGTAACCCAAGTAAAGTGGATAACTACCGGCCGATCTGCTTGACGGCAGTTTTGGCAAAGACGCTCGAGAAGATCGTGAAGAAGAGCCTTCTGCAACTTCTCGAGTCGAAAAACCTGTTAACCTCCACACAACATGGTTTCCTGAAAGGTCGCTCGTGCATCACCAACCTACTGTTGACGAGGCACGAATGGATACAAGCGCTGAACCAAGGCCAATCGGTCGACTTCATTTACATTGACTTCAGTAAGGCTTTTGACAAAGTTAACCATACAGTGCTACTTGACAGGCTGAGGATGTGCGGTGTTGGTGGTTCGCTGCACAAATGGTTTAGAAATTTCCTTGTTGATCGAAAGTGAAGGGTCCAGGGGGACAACCATCTAACTGACTGGTATCCATCGAGCAGCGGCCTGCCCCAAAGCACTGTACTGGGGCCGATATTGTTTCTGACCCATGTAAACGATGTGTCTCAGCTACTCCAATCACCTTGTGCGTTGTTCGCAGATGACTAGAAGGTGTGGAAAGTAATCCGCACACCCAACCATTGTGATTTACTTCAGCAAGACCTCGACAGCCTCTCGACATGGTCTGCGGAGGTTGACCTTCCGATCAACCCTGCCAAGTCACAATTTATGAGGTTGGGTAACTGTGAGCGCAGCCGAACGTACACAGTGGCTAGTCAACCGTTGCATCCCGCGCCTTTCGTGCGCGACCTCGGTGTGCTCACGCTGCGACCTAAAGTCCATTGACAACACGAGTAGGCTGTACCAAAACAGCCTTCGGATGCTTTGGGCCCTCAGGCGCAGCTTCAGCACTTGGTCCGAAGAGATTGCTACTCGCCTCTTCGTCTCGATAATACGACCAATGCTAGAGTACGGCTCTCTCGCGTATTGTCCCATCACCCTGGGCGAGGTAGAAAAGCTTGAACGGGTGCAGCATGTAGCCACCAGGCTAATTCCCAACTTACGAGGTATCCCATACGAAGACCGATGTAAGAAACTAGGGCTGTACACCCTAGCTTATCGTCGGCTGAGGGTTGACCTCATCATGACGCACCGGATATTACATCTGAGTGATTACCCCATGTTGAGACAACTGCTTCATCTGCGCACACCAAGCTGCACGCGAGGACACCGGTATAAACTAATCGTACCGAAGTTGAAGTGGGTCGCTCACCAACTCTGTTTCGAACGCTGAGTGGTGAATGTCTGGAACGATCTGCCGCAGCACATAGTAGAGGCGAACTCAGTGTCCGAGTTTAAGAAGCTCCTAGACAAACACTTTGCAGAGGCACAATATAGAGAGCGGAACGATAAATAAGGAGTATATGTCCAAGAACGACAAATGATGCCGCTACACAGAGAAAGCTCTACTCGCTGCATCGAACCAGTATTCAGTATTCAT